GCTATAAATAGCATCCTTGGAAGAATGGAGAAAATATATACAACAACTCATCAACAATAAGAAAAACAACCAAAAAGAGGCTACCTCATTTACAGTTAGCCCAAAAAGCTTGATAAAGAGAGATTTCTAAACTCCTTATCCAGAAGCAAACTTCTCCTCCTTCCAAAAAGCTATAGTGTAAATACTTGTAGGTTTCCTTACCTCAAGTAACACACCACGTTGAAGGATACAAATTTTGATCAAACTTATTGATTAAAAGGGGGTAGGTCAACTTTCTTACAAGTTGGTCTTGCAAGTCCTATTGTTCGGACCTTGCAGTTGTTGAAGAAGCATGACCTTCGAAGGAACAACAAAGCCAGCACGAGTGCAGTAGCAACATTGGCCTTGCGATGATATACCGTGCAGAAATTCACACAAGTGTAATTGTTGGTTCATTATTCAACAACCAACTACATAGTGGATTTTGAGGACGTAGAAGGATTACCCCACCTTCAAACCTCGTTAAAGTTTGCGTGTCTCTCTCTTTTATCTTTACTCTTACTTGCATTTATATTAACTGAGAAAACTAAACCATCCATATTGATTACTGCTCACTCTAGCCACCAACTTCCGCACATAATCTAAAGTTCACAAGAACTTTAGATTAACACCTATTTTCACGTTTTTAAAAGAAACGAAAAAGTTTGTAAATTTGTAACAAAGTCTATTCACCCCCCCCCCTCTAGACTTTGTAAATCACCACTTCGGGACCACCATGAACGTTTTCTTGTGAGTAAGGCTCTCTTTAGTTGCAAGCTCTCTTCACGGAACTCGGTCGGTCCGCACGTTCTCAAAATGATTGGTTACATAACCAATCTAGAGAAACTCGGGTTCTCCTTGCAGAAGGAGCTGGCAACGGACCTGATCCTGCAGTCGCTCCCTGAGCTGTATAAGGGTTTTGTCATGAACTACATGATGCATGATCTTGACAAACCCCTTCCGGAGCTTCTTAAAATGCTCCAGACTGCAGA